CAGTACCTATTAGCATGAGCGATACCCATTGTTTGTGGTATACACGCACACACACACACACACTGCCTTTCGCAAAAATGTCTAAACACTGAAGCACGGTTCATCTGCCGGCCATTCGCAAACATTTCATGCGTACCTCATCTCCGTTAGTCAGCATCGACATGCACTCCACTAAGGCTCTGTCTACGCCCAGGGTAAGCACCTGCTCCATATCAACGACCTTCTCCTGACTGCCTGCCTGATCCTTTGCATCATTGCGTTCTTCGACTCGTACAAGGGCTTCTCTGCATTGCACAAGCGTGCTCCACTGTACACTTTGGTTGATGGCCATGTGTGCAAGCACACGTAAGAGTGTGTGACTGTGGGTAAATGCGGCGTCGAGCTGGGCGGTGTAACATGGCCTGCAAAGGGATTGGAACATTGTTGAGTGTATTCTGTGGCCAGAGCCTTGGATCTAATTATAAACGTGAATTAATTGGATGGCAGCGCATGTGGCATGGCGCCTCTCCAAACAAGCATGCATAGAGCCAGACGACTTACCGCCCCACAGTAGCGAGCGTCTCGTAGACGGGATCTTCAGTCAAGCTAAGCACATGCTGACACGCGTACTCGATCCGTTGCAGTATGCGATGTTCCTCAGCTGTCTGCCTCTCCTTCCGTTTCCGCTGTGCCTCGTTCGATGGTTTGGTCTCTGACGCGTTGGCCTTGCTGTGGTCACACGCAGCTCGTACGCGCTAGTATGAGATGTGGTGTGCGACAGAATGGGTTCAGTATACAAACACTGCGAACTTAAGAACTGAAGGATGCAGTGCAGTCCATGCCAATGCCCACGGATGGTGGTAGGTACGTGCCACGTTGGGGGTTGGTACTCGTGAAGCCGCACAGAATGCAATACATATCAATTTGAATGCTGGCGTTGATATATCTGGGCTGATGGAACCGCACAACTTCACCCTGTTAACTCCTTCAAAGAAACAGGCATAGATCACGTGTGTCCATTAGGCCAGCCAGTATACTTTTATAGCACCCCTCCATACCTGTATGTATATATATATATATATATATATACATATATATACATATATATATATATATATACCCCGCCATACCTGTAGAATAGTGTATCGATGTTGCAAAGGCAGCTGCTTGTTTGGCGTGCGTATTCCGTCTCCTATGACGAGTTCAAGAGTGAGAGTCGGTTTGAGTAGATGGCTCAGAGCGTGGCTACGTCATACGCCGCTAATCCGTACAACAACAAAGCTTTCCGCACGTGCACATACAAGTAACCAACATGACATGTAAAAGGCAAGCCGATATTGACAACAGAGACTCCTAACTCCGCTCTGTTGCCTTCAGGAGAGGGGATAACTACTGTATTCGGGGCAGCGTCAAAGGACCTATACAGATAACTGGTGCAGGTGTGTATATCTAAAACGTAAGCGTGGAACAGACCCAACCCAGGATATACCCCCAGCACCACAGACACGCACCTTGTGTCTGTGCACTGACGAGCAGCAGTGAGTGGACAATATGTAGCAGTGCCTCGCCACTCAGAAGTGACAGGAAGACGTCACTTGCACACACATGCTCCGCCAATTCGAGGAAGGCGTTTGCGCCGCTATCCTTCGCTGTGCTCTCGGTCACCTGAGACATGTGTGTATATATTAGTGTTGTGTATGAAATATAGGGCGTTTTGGTGGAGCGGGATGTTCGCGTATCTCGCAAGGGTTTGATGTCTTGAATGCAGCTCTCAATAGGCCACGTGATCCTTAGTTCTTTCCGGCATCGCAAACATACGCCGTTCATATACTGCACACCCAAGATACCATGCGTGTCTGTGTTATATAAGAACTCGATTTCTACTTCAATGTACATATAGACATACATGCGCTGTTGTATGTTCACGCAGGACAACATAAGGAAACAAGACTATTACGAACATGAACCAACCACTAGACGCGCGAATATCCTTCAATACGTGCCTGATCTCCCACGATTTAAATGTGTACGCAAAAAGGTTAACTCAGGGTCAGCACGCACCGACTAACATAACACGGGAGCACAAACAAACACGTCAGTCTGTTACACAAACAGTTCGGTACTGACACACCTCTGTGTTATTCGATGCATCACGCACAGATCTCAGTGCGTTGTAGTCGTAGTGCCTGTCCGTTTCGTTGGTTCCTGTCGACCGAGTGTGCGTCGCTGCAGTGTGTACAACCGCTTTGGTTTCTGCCGCGCTGAGATAGGTTTCCCAAGCGAGCTGGAGACGATGAGCGATGAAGTACGCGTATGTTTTTTTTGCAGACACACGCGCCCCATCCAATGTGCCATCGAGATAGGCTGCGTTGGTGATGGCCGATACAACCTGAGCAAGCCCCTTGATGTTCTTGAAGGTAGCCACTTCCAGCTACAGATGAGATGGCAAAGGTGATATTTAGATACGATACTCAATACTCAGTATACACTACATGATCATGATTTGGGAGTGAAGGAGCAACTCTGAAAATACATACGTTCATTGTGAAATCGTAAACAAGCACAAACATATCATAGTGCAGCACACTGCAGTGCTCGAGTAGGCTGTCTCTTGTGCAGACCCATGATAGCTGTTACTGAAGTGATTGCCAGAGCGCATCGATGGAAGCACAGCTTTCGGGTGATCGGGCAATACCACGTTTTCCAGTATTTTAGTAAAGGTGTATTTTTATATCAATTATAGTCTATTATGGTACGATTTGATACACACATACCGCTGCGTCCAATGTCGCTTGACCGCCGGTCCTCAACCTGCGATAGTCAAGTGCAGGGCCGTTTGCACCCTTCCTAAACAGCCCGATGAGTTTGAGACGCTGCAAAGAGCGGATATCATGGTCGTATACGGTCGTGTTTGTTGAATTACCACTTCGGAGTGACGAGGGAGAACCCGCTTTTCTATTTCTGGGTAGCGCTGTCCCCGAGGGGGGCGTTTGGGGGCCGTTTGCACCATTTGGTCCTACAGGACAAAGCAATATGAAATACATGGATCAGCAACGCAAAATACATTTGCATGTTCATTGCTATAGTCATCGCCAGTTGTACTGGTTCTCTCACTAACAGACCCAATTCTCATAGGCAGAGTCTCGACGCGTGTCGATCAGACAAGACAGATACAATCTTAGCCTAACACTGTACTACAAATCTGTGGTACGATATGTACCCATAACCACCGTACTCCCATAATCATGTCTCCTCACCTGCACAAAGTACAGCTAGTTCATAACAGATTAGAAAGCCCGGCAGGTCTGTGCCGTCGAGCAACGGCATGATATCCGCAACCAGCGCTCGCTCCAGTCGGTCGGGGTTGGCCAACAGGTATGTCTTGGCATCCTGTCACGGTTACGAGTGCGAGTGCAAGTTGTGGATTGTGATAGGTTCGGTGGTGAGAGTGTGGTGTATCGAGGGCATTCAATAGGTGTTGTATTTAGGGACATCCGTCGCGAGGTGGGTGTCGTTGTGTGTCCAGAGAGCATATCGGATTGCACAAAGTGTGTTAGTATATTATACAAAGTGTGCTAGTATATATGATTTGCCACTTGGCATCCCTCATCTACAATCAGGTACAGACATCCTAGTAAAACAGCTTCAGATTTATATTGTGCGCGATGTCGCGAGGGTGTGCTCCTTCATCCCGTGTATGCGATATCTTGCGACCTCTATGCACACTTCCTACTATGCACACTTTCTACTATGCAAATACATGCAATTGGTTTGTTACCCAAGAATTGCACTACAGTTCACCAGTGCCTTCGCATACCGATTCTACCCTCCCGACGTATGTATCTACACTCAATACACATCAACACTATATATACACTATCCTCACAACGTACATATCTACACTATATATATATATATATATATCGTACCCGCACACGAGCTTTGCGCACGTTGCTCTCCAAAGGCTGAGTCATCACTGCCTTGAGGTGTTTTGCGGCCATCTCCCACACATCCAGATCGTACCGCTTGGCCATTTGCACGGCCGCGTCAAAGGTATCGGCTCGTGGCTTCTGCAGCAACTCGTCCATTACAGACGTCTGTGTTGAATTGTATGATTAAGTATTGTGTCTACATTACTTGGTGTTGTTAGTTAGTATGTCGTGGGGTTTGCTGACTTCTTTGTGGTGGGAAGGCGTGTAAGCGTACGTTGGATTTCTTGACGTCTCGTCTCTGTGGTTTTTTCTTGAGTATAGTGTTATACTATGACATCTGATCTAGTGTGGTGGATATGCTAATTGAATGTCGAGTGGCTGTATCGAAATTTGCTGTATCTCACTCGCTGTCGCAGCGTGATGTTGAGCCAAGTTTTGTTGTGTAGTGCTGTTCTCATTTGAAATGAGTGAATTGGTGCCTGGTTCTGATGTGTCTACTATTGAATTGAGTGGCTGTGTTGAGTTGCGATGTGCCTCATTGTCATTGCGTGGCTTTGTATTTTGTTGTTTTAGGTATCTTGTGACTGTGGTGTGAAAAGATACAATGCAACATGATGTATGGTTAAGCGATGTGCGATGTTATGCTAATGGTCCTATGTCTTGTTCCACATGTGTTATGGGTGTTCATATACATCTATACAGGAAAGGTTATTTCAAGTTGTATTTATACGCATTGACTTGTTATGTTGCATTGTTAGCCCGGCTGTGGAGCATGTGTCACTTTGTATGGCAGAGGTCGTTGCCGACGGCGACGAAATGAAAATTGATACTATAAAAGATAATTGAATAGATATTAAAACCCATATCCCACTAGAATCTGTGTGGAAAAGTACTAAACACCCAGAAAAAAGAGATAAAACAATACCATCGAATTGACGCAGAATAATGCAATATTCATCACTAACTATTGGACCATGTGTAAACATACCTACCCGTGAACACATACATACCTAGGAACACATACATGCCTGTCAACACATAGATACCTGGTAGTCTGAGTCATCGCGGAATCTATCTTCATCCAAAAACTCCATGTGCGTTGCAATTTCCGATCCCAGTCTGATATCCGACAGTTTAGCCTCCCACTTGTGCGCCAATGCAAGTGTGGCGCATTGACTGTAGGACTCCTGTCGTACACGGTATGAGATATGGTCTGTACATCAAACGTGTACATGCGATGTATACCGTTGCTTGACATTCTCAGATGGACAATCGATCACAGTTTACTGAGCATGCAGACGACAGGAGAGCTACTGCATATAAATCCTAAGTATATGTATGTATGACGAGCCATTCCGAGATCAATTACCCGCGAGTATTGTATATACGCAATCGACTATTAACACGGGAGAACGTGTGACATCCATAAACCAGATCCAGTATTCACCCCTGACCCAACCAAATCAGGCCCATGGACCACAGAAACGAATATGCCAGTACAAAAGAACCTGCGGCCCAATTGGTAACATATACTTCATTGATAACTCAGTTTTGAGAAAGCAATGCCTAGTACTAACAGTTGGATACTGCAGCCAGTATCGTATGTCGTTTGCAGATATTGTAACTGCTTACCGGCGATGTGCGAGGCGAGTACCACATACCAACGCCACACACCAACGCCACCATAATGTAATAGGCCAATATGTGCTTAGACGTATCATGACACGAGCACTAAACCCCCACGAATACGTTAGTACGTCACGTAACTAAATACCTGTTCGGAACGTGCGATCGTATCGGCAAAGGGCTCCGTGGCCCACGAGGATGCGAGCTGTGACTCCTTATCAGTTGGTGTCTGGCGGGCGAGCACGCAGCTGAGTCTGAAAATATACACCCCCAACTCGCTGGTCTGGAGCTGCCGCGGCAGTTTCTCGAGGAAGGCATCGATCTCATTAGGCTGTGGCCGGGATATAATGTGCGGCAGTGTGGGGTGTTACGGACGATGTACAGACGAGACGATTTCTGCGGCTCTCATCCACTGAGGCCCATACACTCGAGCGCCGGCATGCAACTTTACAATACATTAAGCGTGCTGGATGATGGAGTGCGCTCAGCGACCAGACGAGCTTTGGCTGATGGGTGAGTGGGCACAGATCTATCTCAACATTTCCAAACACACGTGCCGTAAAAGAAAGGGTACCACAACGGACTCACCATCAGTTCACACCGCCGACAAGGAGCAAACCGCCCAAACAAAGTCATACCGCACACAGAACCCCACAATACATGTACGCTGCACCAATTAAGTGTCGGTTTTTAAGGACCAAGCCACCCCAAGCCAGGTTTTTCCCAACGCGCGCACTGCACGGAATACACACCTGCCCGACAGCGACAAGAGACGACACGAACAACAGCGGATCGGAGCGCAGCGCGTGCTTCGCGATGTCTAGTGGGAGACAGTTGGTGCCTCGGCGCTGTGGGGGCTGCAGTGAGGGTGGATATAGGTGTAGGTAAATGTATGAGTGACTATCGTATTCTATGTGCTCCGTCTGCGAATCGACTCACAGCCATGGGCAGTACTGTGTGTGCGGTGTTTTCTCGTACAGTCCTTTTCGTGACGCTGTGAGTCATATATGTATACACTGCCAATAGTGAGTGATATCTTAGATTCCGACCGACGCTGCCGGGTGTATAGGTGTGGTACAAATTACAAATATGAGTATAGAGGGTCGATAAAGTCGGATATGATAGATGTACAACTATCTCCTGAGAAAATAATTTTTCGTTTCTTGATGGCAGAAACTAGAGCTTCGGACCGGCGAACACCACTTAAGTAGAGAAGCTCGCAACAAATACGGCGGCCCACAATTGTACTAGCATGCCATTCGATGCGTAAGATATCAAGCACAGACGCAATCGTATATGAACGGAACATAGAAACGAACATTAGTACTTTGAATCTAAACACCCGTGCAAATACAACTTCAAACTACACGCACGCGACAGTACACACAAAACACACACACCTCGTCATACGCAAACTGATCCAACATGTGCAGCCTCAGCGCGGCCACAGGCGCTGACAGAGCACTCAGCCGCTGAAGTCCAGCGTGCCCTCCAGTTTGGCCCGACGCAGCACTACGCTCCTTCTCCTTGACGCCACCACTTCTGCTACTCGAATCAACACTACCTCGCAGAGGGTATCTGGTGTCTTTCCGCAGCCGACTGTCCAGGCATGTGAACGCTATACTTAACGCCACGTTCTTCATATCGCCAGACAACGCACCACCCCTTCCTTGTGCGCCCACTCTCCGTGACCCGGTCGTAGGCGTGGCAGTGTCTGTGTCTGCACTATCCAGCCCTACACTAACATTCCCACTGCCCCAGGCCACCACCATCTGCCCGTCTTTACCACTCCAATCCATGCCCTGCACATGCCGCACACTGGCCCGCAACACACAGTCCACCACATCCACATCCCTATCGGCATCCCTATCGGCATCCCCACGCACACTACCACTCGTACCCTCAGAGCTGCCCTTCACCTTCACACCCCCTCTGTCCCCTATCGCCGCAGTTGCAGCCAACTCAGACACCTCACCGGTGGCCAGTACAGCCGCGCGAGCCTCCTCCCACTCGAGGACTCTGAGCGCTCTCAACGCCCTGTCCAGCACCAGACGTCCGCAGCTCTGTGCCGCAGCGCCTAAGCAGGCACGCCTGGCCTGGGTGTCCGTATATGCCGCACACTCTCCCAACTGCAGGCACGCGTCCCAGCCCAGCGCCAAGGTCACTGGCGACTCCATGATCTCCTCGCACAGCGCCTTCGACGTGGTGTGGGCGCCGGTGCGCAGCGCGTGCACGGCCAAAAGCCCCAGCATAAACCCGCGCTGTACATCTGAGGCATTTCCGGGGCTATACATGCCCACGGCATCGGCGAGGGATATCAGCTTCAACACGTCCACGCGGGTCATCAACGCTGGCGTTGGTTTGGGCGTGGCGGTGGCGGGTCTTGCCGTAGACAAGTGCGCGCTCCTCTCTGATAGGTTTGTGCGTTTGTGTGGGTCCGTCGTTGCGAGTGTGTGTGAAACTGTGTCCGCCGGTGTGCTACGAGGTGTGGCATACACCGCACGGCCATCGTTGGCATCGCTGTCGTCTGTATCTTCTGCGCTGGTGCTGGTGAATTCATTGCCCCTGTTATGTACACCCAGTGTAGCATTGTCCTGTTCGCCCACCCCACTATCAGACGGAGACCAATCGGCCCCTGCGCCTGTGCGTGCTCGTGTCTTGCTACCTCGTACTTGCTGCCTCCCTTGACCTTCCCCTCCTCCATGCATAGGCGTGGGAGTCTGTGTAGGCGTACGTGTGCGTTGTTTTCTGGGTGTATGCATGTGTGTGTGTGTTTCTGGCTTCCTCCTTCTCCGTCTCTCCTTGGCCGTGTGACCACGTGCCCCCGTGGGCAAAGGAAACCAAAGCCCAAGCACGTGCTCAAGCAGTTTTTCGCCATCGTCGAGTATGCGGAACTGTACAGGCACCAGCCGCTCAGACACAGACTTCGGCAGCGCTTTCACTCGCACGCACACCTCGTGTAAACGGAGCTCCTCGGCCACTGAGGAAAATGCCACAGATTTCTGGGCATTCTGATTGCTCCTCTCCTCGTGCATGTTCTCATGCGACCCCGCCTGTGTGTGTGTGTGTCCGTATTGATTCCCGTGCTTGCGAGCAACAGACGTCCCGCGGGCGTTAGTACTGGCAGGCAGCAAACGCAGACACGCCCTACTGATGTCTAGTGCGGTGTCGCGCACCGATACTGCCGAGTTGTAATACTCTCTGGCGGCCTTGACCACGATCGGTTCGGCTTGTTTTTGGGTCAAAGTAGGCGGAGCCCAGTTTTGGTCTCGCCAACTCGACACACTTGATGTGTCTAATCCGCTTGACCCATCACGGGTACCAACGGTATCGTGATTCGATTGGTCGCTATCTTTAGAATGGGAGCTGGTAGCCGGGGCGATCACCTCACGGGCCATAGTGATGATGACGGCGTTGTTGGTATTGAGCAAGGCTTCGAGATAACTGCTAAGCACAAACTCGGTAGTGATTTGGCCTGCCATCACGCCGTCTTTCAGCTCCAGCATTAGTCCAAGCTGCTCTCGCCACTGATCTGCCTGTAGCGTAGGGGTAGTGATGTGGCGATATAGAATGAGACTTCAGCCTATGGACGGTGACCTGAGACTTGGCAAAGGTGACGAATACACATCAAAACAAGCATTGAAAATTGGATAAGACTGTATGCGTGCAGGCCCTGCGATCAGTTGTACGAGAACAGTTCTTCGGGATAGTGAATGACACTTTTGCGGTTAAATAATGCTTGTAGAGTACAAGTTTCGGTTCTCCGGCAGAGATTTACTTTACTTATTCTGTAGTAAGGTATGCCTGTCCAACGAACCCAATTTGCCACCATACTGCCCTAATTACCAAGTTTGCGGTACATGCAAACCTGTATCAAAGCTACATACCATAAACCAGCTTGAACATACGAAAGTATCTGGCGTGTATACAACCCACTCAGTCTCACGGGCAAGCAATACTGTGACGGCGTCATACTCATACACAGGCCGACGGCAAAAAGACGGCCAATCGTAACCACAGCAATTCCACACACTGACTTTATGTATGGCATGTACCATTGCGCATGTTCACAAACAACAGTCACAAATAGACTGTTGCAGTACATAGCAACAATATCCATGATTGTTTTTCACTACACGATTTTTAGAAATATACAGATATCTTACAGCCAACAAAGAGGGTCTCAGCAAATATATTGGGCAAAATCGGACACTCATTAGGGAAGATATATCATCATCACATAAACTATCAACGAATGATGTTCAGGCACAGAAAGTGAGTCTCCAAAAGAAGCCATTGAAATACACGCATCCTGTCTTGCCTACCGTAGGCGCGGGGCGTTGATGTAAAGCGTTCTTGCACATCAACTTGATCAGATCCTGCGCATGGCCAGCGCCACCCTCGCTGATGTCGCGAACTGTCTTCTTGACGTTGTACTGCCACAGCTTATGGCTGGCCTCTATAAACTGCACCGTCAAGAGAGCGCTGAGCAGCAAGTCTTCAGTCGTAAGCGCTATGGGAACGGCTTCTCCGCCGTTAGCGTTCGCTGTTGGCTGTTAGGCAGACAAGCATTGGGCGACGTGAGAGAAAAGGACTGGCGTACACGAACGACAGAGACAGACTGGCGACGTGTTTTTATCGGACACATAGGCGCCTTTGCATGGGAAATCGTGCACCGTCAATCGGCGTACGTCCCTATATCTATAAAACATGGACATTCGCGCTGTGTCTGGTAATCGCTCACTACGAAGCCAACGGATCACAGTTTGTTCTACTCTATTACTTATGCATACACACATTGGGACGGCAACATAAGCAATGCTCCTGTTGAAGATATCAACAACACCAAACGAGTAGCACTGGCCACCTCAGCACAGACCACTCACAGTACCTGATTCGCATCCTCCGTGTCGAGCGGAAGGCTGGTATCCTGCTCTGCGCGTATTCGCTCGACTGTTTCCTTTATCCACGTGGCAATACGTCTTTGCTCGCCCAACTGAGCCGTGTCGTCGCACGCATGCACGCACTCCACTGCTATGGCCAGCAAGTCAAGCCGGCCCACACGCACATCCGCCCGCGTCTCCAGGGAGTCTCTGCGCTCTGTAAACGCCATATCCGCGCGCATCCCCTTCCACGTGTCCTTAAGCGTCTGAAGACCTGGCGCAGCACGGCGACTCCCCCACGCTTTACCACCACACAACCCGAGCGAATCCGCCTCGCACAGCAGCAAACGACACCGTGCAAGATACTGGTCATGTGCCAGCTGTGTCATGTAGCTGCTCAACAACCTCGCCCCCTCATCCGTAGCCGACAGTGCCTGCTTGTCTGTGTCCAGCGGTGCTACGGGGTTGCTTTTGTGTCTGGACATGCCCTCGTCTACGCTTGCAATACGCCCGGGGTTCACCACCACGGAATGGGCCCTGCGCGCACTCGTCCTGGAGTGGGGTACGTCGTCTCCCCCGTGTGTTTCCTCTGTGTGTGTCGATGGGTGCGCCAGTACACCAGGACTATACCGCGCCATCGCCCGGCGGTACAGTGTGCTGGTGGTAAGCGTAGGTGTGCTCGAGCCCACCCACGACCGGAACGAGGTACTCATCGGTGTGTGTTCGGTGGGTAGGCGCATTACAGGCATCTGCGTGGGTGTGATCTTCGTACTGGACACACTAAGCTGCGACAGAGCCGATAGAAAAGCCTTCCCGTGCTTTTCGAAGCGCTTGATGAAGGTGTCATTCGTATCACAGCCCTCAAACAGCAGCGCGAATCGGGTCACGCCCGGCAGTGTGGTGTACTCGTCGAGGTGCATGCCGTGCGGCACCGACTGGGCCTTGAAGACCAACAGGGTGAGTGTGGCGGCAATGGACTCAATACCCTCCAGCCCAGGCACGCCGTCTCTTACGCCTGCGCGTGCGAGGGCCAGCGCAATGTCCACCTGCCCGCTGAGAGAATCAATCTCGATCACCCGCGATATGTACCAGCTCGTCAGCGAGGAAGGGTTCAATCCAGAGATCACACACGCGTCTGCAGCCGCAGCCGTGGCAGTGGGGTTGCTCTCGATGGTCGGGAGGTCAAAAGTCACAATAGAGGCGGATGGCTCAGTGGGGTGTGAGTGTGTGTTGTGCGTTTCTGCCGAGGAGGCGACACACTGCTCACCTTTCAAAGAGAGGTAGGGCTCTTTCTCCACCCAGTCCGGCTCCCGCCAACTTTGTACCAGCCATTGCTGAACGGCGACCGTCTGGTGTGGTTGTGATGGAAGAAGATTAAGCTTGTGAATATGGAGATTCGGGATTGAACGATTTCCGTGCAGTGATATTCTCTTGGATATGGTTTAAATGGATAGTATTCAAAACCAAAAAGTACAGTTGCAATCATGCAAAGTAGTTTTTCTCTTCAGATCATTAAACACACAATCGATGCAATCGTGAATTTGCCATTGGATCTATGAACACGATTTCGGGATTGTCACGCGAAACGCCGAAGTCGCACTTTGTAGACTAAATATAGAACTATGTGTCTACCTATATCCAATCAGACGTACAGAATTTGCCATTGGATCTATGAACACGATTTCGGGATTGTCACGCGAAACGCCGAAGTCGTTCTTTGTAGACAAAAAATACAGTTATGTGTCTACCTATATCCAATCAGACGTACACAAACTCAGTCCGGACGAGGGCATTCCGAGAATTCTGACTCAACGCACTCACCCCATTGTCGTCTACGTTGCACTTGGGTAGGATTGTTGCGTAATTGTCTGGATGAACGTTTTCCGGTACAGTCGACAGGATGCTTAGCCAGTGGGGCAGAGTGGCCTGGTGATGGTACGTCAGAAGTGTGTGCAACGCTTCAAAGTGCTGATCACGTGCAAACTGCAGCGCGGCATCCACGAGATTGCACTCCCGAAACACCATGTACCTGTGAATATTGATTGGTTGAGAGGCAATGAGTACCGCAGTGAATACAGGACTATGTTGATATAGAAGTGTGTACATGGGGAAAGATTTGTTATTATGATCTGATAATACGTGTGAATGCGCTTTCTGAAATTATTTTTTTTGACATATATATATATATATATGTGTGTGTGTGTGTGTGTGTGTGTGTGTGTGTTGTTGTGTGTGTGTGTGTGTGTGT